TTTTTATTTAACAGTTCATGTAAATAATTAATATTTTTCCGATGATTTATTTATTGAAAATCTGTGAAATAACAGGAAAAATATTCCACTGATAAACTCCCTCCTCCTCCTCCAACATGTGATTAATTACCATCATCAACTAAATAAATGTGCTGATTAGAAACTGCAGCGGATCCGGTTTAGTCGGACAGAAGCTTTAATTCTGAGGTTCTGACGTCCTGCCGTTTGTGTGTCTTTCGCAGCAGAACCACAGAACTACTGTTCCCATCAGGCCCGGCTGACCTGGTTTCGGCGCTGCTCTGTGAGCATTGACATGCTGCCGGCGTCCTGAAGCTGCGCTGTGGCTGCTTCCACCTCTTCTCAGGCCTGTTGATCCTGCAGCTCGCTCTGGAGCTCCAGTTCCCAACTGAAGCTCCTCCAGGTTCCCTCTGAGCCGGACGCTCTCGGCTCGTCCACGCCGAACCCGGTGGCGGCGGCAAAATGGCAGCCGGCGTGCCGTCCGTCCTCCTTCCTGTAGCTCCCTCCTGAGAGAAGTAACCCAGATTTCAAAATGAATCGCCGCCTGTCCCCCTCAATGTCTCTCCTCCCTCTCTCTCCTCTCTCTCTCTCTTTCTGTCTCCATCTCCAGTCCTGGTAAAAACAGAATCAATCTTGGAAAGAGAATACCACCACCGCCGCCGCCGCCGCCGCCGCCGCCGCCTCTCTGTTCCGTCCTCCTCCTCCTCAGCCTGCCTCTGGGTTCACGGATATAAACCACCTCACTCGTCTATCTGTGGTTCCTGGAAAGCCTTCCAGTCGCTTGTTGCTCTGCAACTTTCTCTTGATTTTTTATTTTGTTTTCTGGCTGATTTTTCTCCGCCGGCGTCTTTGATTCTCTCTTTTGGTTCTGACCCGCTACAGGTGAGAATCCGTCCGAGAGCAAACTCAGGTATCCAGTCTTTATTAACTTCCTCCTTTCTGTCCTTGTCGTTATGTTTTTAACTAATTTCTGGGCTCGGTGCCGTTCCTCTGGTCCGACCCGTCCACTGATTCGCTGAGACACCATCATTTCATCACTTGTTGTGTTCTTTCTTTCCTGGCAGGGCTTCTTGCTACGGGCTTATTTATTTATTCATTAAATCTCTGTTGCTGTTTCATTTATCATTCAGTAGCTCTTGCACCACGATCTCCACTATGGGTTTTTTTTTGCCGTTTTGCACTTTTTTTCTTCTTTTCTTTTTTTTTTCTCGCAGCGCGTCTCGGCTCCCTGTAGTCGTATTATTCTGGTTCAAACTTTTTTCTTGAGAAATGGGACTAATTGCTAATAAGGGCAGGCGGGGAGACGAGGAGGGATGCTAATATTGGAGCAGCTGGTGGGGGTGTTGTTGACATGGCAACAGGAGGCAGGGTTGACATAGCGACCGGGGGGTGTTGGCGATGCGAGGGGTGTAGGGATGTAGGTAGAGCAGGCAGGCGCTATGTGGGACACTCGGCGCTAATCGCTCAGCGTCTCCGAGTCTCCGAGGAGGCTCTGGGTCTCTGCATGTGAATTAACCTCGCTGTCTCCTCCTCCTTCTCCTCCTCCACCTGTCCTCCATGTCTCCTCCTCCTGCACTTCCGCTTCTGGATGCTTCTCTCCATCACCTCCCTCCTCCTCCTCCTCCTCCTCCTCCTCCAGGTCTCTGCTACCCTCCCTCCGCTGCATCCTCCAGGCATCATGTCCACCCCGGTGTCCCCTCCCCCGTCCCTCTCCCCGCTGACCCTGGCCTCCCCGACGTCGGCCGCCTCCCCCGGCGCCTCCCCCCTGCCCTCGCCCCTCTCCCCTCCGCCCAGGGTGCCCGTCTTCCAGAGGAAAGGAGCGCTGAAGCACAAGCGGATCGTGGAGGTGAAGGACCACCAGTTCACGGCCCGGTTCTTCAAGCAGCCCACCTTCTGCAGCCACTGCACCGACTTCATCTGGTAACATCCGGCACACAGAACCCCCCCCCCACATCAGCGCCGCCTCCTCAGGCAGGCGCCCCCCCCACGCTGACCCGATCCGATCACATAACCCTCCACCTCCACGCTGCCGCCCACAGCATCCAGGAGTTACTGGAGGAACTTCCTGCGCTCACACACGATCCAATTAGAGCTCACAGGCAGCAGAGCAGATACATAAACTATCGTGGTTTTATTGTAACGCTGCCAACAGGAAAACATGGACAATTATTTTTAAAATATTCCCTATTTGTCAACCTCAGTTACAAATTTTATCTGATTTAAATACAGAAAAAAAAAAAACAGTTAAATTTGATGGTAAAAGATGTCCTGCTGAGGTAGAAAGACAGATTTAGGACGTGTCTAGTTTTATTTTTTAAGAGTCAACATTTAAATTAAATTGTAAAAAAAAACCTGTGATTTGTAGCAGACAAAAGAAAAAAAATGTCAAATTGTTTGTTTTTAAAATTTAAATTAATTTTCTATCCTAATTTTTTTTTTCTTTTTCAAATAATCAGATTCATTTTCTCTAATTTCACGACACCAGGATGTAAAACAACTGAAGCCTTAATATTCATAATTCTTCTTTCAAATAACATCAAATATCTGTTAAATAATTATATTTTATTTACAGCTAAAATAATGACGTTTTACAGTTAGACAGCGTAAAATACCAAAAACTATTTGTAAAAAATACAGAATTTTAATTTAACATTATTGACAGTTTTGACAGTTTTTAGTTTTAGTTGGGTTTTTTTTTTACAGTCAACATGTAAATTGTTATTTTTTTAATTCTGTGATTTTTACTAGACAAAAGAAACACAATGTGTAAAACACTTTTTAAAAATTTTTGCTTTACTAATTTTCTGTTGTTACTTTTTTTTTTTTTTTTAAATAATGGCAAGTATTTGTAAAATAATCACATTTGCTATTTGTTCACTCCTAATTCTTAAATTCTTAATATATATAATTTTTCTTGTCAAACAACAAATATCTGTTAAAAAGATTATATTGTATTTACAACTAAAATAGTTTTACAGTCAGACATTATCAAATAGTAAATTACTATTTTGTAAAAATACAGATTTTAATGCGGACATTGAAATCTAATTTTTGGGTGGAATTTTTTTTTAAAAAAGTAAAAATTAATCTGTAAAAAACTAACCAAAAAAAAAAGTTTAAACGGTAATGATCAATATTCTACCCTTAAAATACATAATTTAATTTCCAATAACAGTAAATATATGAACAGTGGTGATATGTTTGGCTGACTTATTTACAACAAAATAGTGAAACTTTACAGTCAAACGTTTTAAAATCTAAAAATAATATTTATAAAAATACAAAAAAAAAATTTGCAGTTAACATGTAAATTAATATGTTTTTGTAATTTAATCAGAAATCTGTAGCTTCAGTTTCTTTAAGATTAATTTTTTTTTTTTCTTTCACATTGCTGCAACAATCTGTAAACTACAGACATAGAAGAACGAGCTAACGCTGTTAAACTGGACGTCTTCTAGCCGACAGGCAGCAAAGTGTTTCTTTAACGTTTCAAACTTTTGCTCCAGAAGTTTGCCGGACTCATCGGGGACAGATTAGAACATGGACGAGGTCCGAGCCGACGAGGCAGAGGTCGAGTTCTGCTCGCTTTAACTCTCCGGCTGAGTGTTTGTGCTGCAGCTCCAAAGGAGAAGAAAAAACCTCCTGAGAGTCCTCCAGGGTTATTCCTCCAGACGTTCCTAATCTCCTTCAGAGCTGCAGAACACGTTACGGGACCTTTTAAAGCAGCTCGCTTTGTAAGAACGAAGGTGTCAACGGCGCCGAGTCCAAAACCTGTTGTGCAGTTTGACTGAAGGAGATGTTTTAGGCTGCAGCTGCTCCAGAAGCTGTTAATGCAACTTCTCCACTGGAGATGTGGTTGTTCTTGATCAGATGAAAGCAGATTATGTGAGAAATGCAGCATCATGAAGCTGAAACCAGGCCCTGCTCATGAACCGCTGATACTCAGAGATGTGAGGTTCGTACAGGAGGCAGCATCGAACTAAAACCTGCAGGAAGTGGAGCCACATTCGACTCACATTATTATTTTTAGGTTGCAGTTGCTCCAGATGCTGTTAACGCAACTGCTGCTGCAACTTCTGCAGCTATAGTTTACAAGAATTTAGTTTTTTTTGTAAGATTAAAGCAGATTATGTAAAAAAAATGCAGCATCACGGAGCTAAAACCAGGTCCTCCTTGTTGAACGCTGATGTTCAGAGATGTGAGGTTCGTACAGGAGGCAGCATCGACCTGAAGCCTGCAGAGATGTGGAGCTCAGAGCTGGGCTGCCTCCTCCATAGGAGCACACAGACAGCGCTGCAGCCTGCCGGCCCGCTGGCAGCCGAGCGTGAGTCGGTGTAAGTGGTGGTGTGTCGGCCATATGGCGGGGCTGTATGTCGACGGAGGCGCCAGCAGCCTCTGGGTATCTTTCAGGACATTTCTCCAACTGGCTGCCGTCTTGGCTGCTCTCGGTTCGGGGTGAGGACTCTCTGCCTTCACACAAGATGTCGGAGCAGCAGCTCTCGGTTCGGGCGCCGAGGCTCCCGCGAGGCCGCCACATTAATTAAACGCTGAGACCGGATCTCATTTGTAAATGTAAATATCCTGTTTGTTAAGTCCGAAAGGGAGCGAGTTGGGCTCCACCGGTGACGTCGAGTTGTCGCACAGTTCGGTCTTGTTTTAGCAACATGAGCTCTGAACAGGCCCGTGGGTTGGCTTTATTCACTGAGGCTCAGGTTTCAACATAAAGGCCTGCAGTTCTGTAGAACCAGAACCACATGAAGGAGGAGAGAGAACCCAGAGACATGTTCTGTCAGCAGGANCTGATCTGGATCTCCATCTGTAGACCTCGATGGACGACCTCTGCTCTGTTTCCTCCTTCAGCCTGCAGATCTTTTCTGACCACGGCTTCATGAACCAGAACCTTCTCCTCCATCAGCATCTCTTTGTGGGGGAACAATCAGCCCTCCACCGGCTACATGCATCCATTGTGGCCCATCAGGCGTCCAGCGCCGACTCCGACCCGGCTGCTGCTCCTGAGATGACATGAAGTCAGACTGACTGCAGTGTGTGGATCAGAGGAGCAGCCATCATGTCTGCTGCTGCTCTGGTTCCTGCTGGAGCTTCTGCTGGCTGCTCTAATGAAGACGCTGTGTTTTTAGTTTCAGACGTCCACGCCGCTCCGATGACGTTCTGTCCACACGCTCTGCTCTCCACCTTCACCGGACCACCGACCTGCAGCCACCAGCACCGACCGGCTGGAGGCTGGAGCGGTGGACGGAGGCCCGAGTCGGCCGCTGCTCCATCACCGGTGAGTTCACCGTCGTGTCTTCTGTCTGAATGTTACGTCACAGCTGCTGCTGTACCCACAATGCACCAGGAGAAGCAGTGAGCAGCCGGCGGCCACAAACCAACAACATCTCCCATCATGCACTGGGTCAAAGGAGAGTCCAGAGTTTAGATTTTATCGTTCTAAGACGTTTTCTTGTCGTGTTCGTTTGTGTTTTATAGTTTAAAATGTGTTTTACAGCATTAATACGTATTTTATAGCTTTAATTTTAACACGTATTTTATTGTGTTAATATATATTTTATCGTTTTCTGACATAGTTTGCAGCATAAAACGCATTTTATAGCGTTGTTAGCAGTAGTTTATTGTTTTAAGATGTTTTTTATCGTGTTAATTAGTATTTTAGAGTTTTAAAATGTGTTTTATGGCATTAATACGTATTTTATGTTTGTGTTAATTATGTTGTAAATGTGTTAAGATTTATTTTATAGTTTTAAGACAAATTTATCGGACTCGTTAATTAGTATTTTATCGTTTTAATGTTTTTTTTGTTTGTTTTATGATGTATTTTGTAGCGTTACTGCGTGTTTTCTAGTTTTCTGATGTGTTTTCTGTTCGTTAGTTTGTGTAATTTAACGACAACCAGGTTAAAATCCACGAGTTAAAACACTGAATATATTCAAATTCAACGTAATAATTCACATAAACATGTTCAGTGGAAGCAGGACGACGGTTCACAACACAAACAACCAAACAGACTTTAATTCATTCATTAGAATTTTAGTTTATCTCAGATTGCTGTAAGATGTTGTTTTGGTTGCGAGGAGCCTGTATAGCGCCCCCTGGTGACGTCATGGAGGAGGAGGAGGAGGAGGATGTGTGCTTCCAGGCCTCTTCCTCCTGCTCTTCATCATCTTCATCATCAATCTGTGTGTCTTCTGGTTTACTGACTGGATCAGCGGCTGACTGAGCGCCAGCTTCACTTTTATGGCCGATCAAACGCCGTAAAGCGTCTTCAGCGGGCCGCGAGCGCCGCCGCCGCTCAGACGCGGGGGGGGTTCTTAGTGAATGCTAAGGTTAGCGACGAATACGCTAGCAAATAGGCGCTTGTTGTTAAATATTATCCCGTCACGTACCCTTAAAAACAACATGTTGGCCCGATTTGCAGCGTAACGGGCCGTTACAATGCTGTTATAATGCTGGAGAGAACCCTGCAAAAAAACACAAAATAACCACAAATAAACAAAGAACAGACACAAATAAACACGAAACAATCTCAGAAATGCAAGAAACAACCACAAAAAGACAAAACGACGACAAAGAGATGCAAAACAACCACAAAAATTCAAAAAACAACCAAAAACAGACACGAAATAACCACAAAGACCAAAAAAATACCACAAAAGGACACAAAACGAGCACAAACGTGCACAAAACAACAACAAAGAGACACAAAAACACACAAAAGAATCACAGAAATGCTCAAAACAACAACAAATCAACACAACACAACCATGAAAAAGCACAAAATGTCCACAAATAAACACAAAACAACCACAAACAGACACACAACACAACGCTCTGACGCTCTCTCGTTGTGCGTCTTCCTCGTGTTTTCGACCCACAACGTGACTCGTCCGGACACAACGAGTCCA